AGGATTTTTTTTTTTTTTTTTCACAAGGACGTTACAGAAGAAAACAAAAATGACAACATTTGTGGGTTGCCTCCCATGCAGAGCCTACTTTAACGTCGCGGCACGACGCTGGCTTGGATCATCTCTCCTCATTTGCGCACTAGGGCTCTTCCAACGTTATTATCTCTCTACCCCCTTTCTCTTCTGCCATTCCAAGGTAATGTTTCAACCTTTGCCCATTCACTGTGAACTTATTCGTCCCATCTTCTGATTCAATCTCAATAGCTCCACTTAAGAACATTTGCACCACTCTAAAGGGTCCTGACCATCGGGATTTCAACTTACCTAGGAACAATGTCAATCTTCAGTTGTATAACAACACTAGATCTCCGGATTTGAAGTTCCGATCCAAGATGTGCTTATCATGCTTTAGTTTCATCCTATCTTTGTATAATCTAGCACTCTCAAATGCTTGGAACCTGAATTCATCGAGCTCATGTAACCTAATGACTCTGCTGGTGCCTGCTGTCTCCATATCCAAGTTCAACTGCCGCAATGCCCAAAGTGCTTTATGTTCGAGCTCTATCGGAAGGTGGCATGCCTTTCTGAACACCAACTTGTACGGTGACATACCAATTGGAGTTTTGAAGGCTGTGCGGTACGCCCACAATGCATCATCCAACTTCTTCGCCAAATCGGTCCTTGTTGCATTCACTGTTTTTGTAAGGACACTTTTAATTTCCTTATTTGACACTTCAACTTTCCCGCTCGACTGTGGGTGATAAGGGGTGGTCACTTTATGACGAACTCTATACTTTTCCAACAGCCGTGCGAATTCTCTATTGCAAAAGTGGGTTCCACCATCATTGATTATAACTCTCGGGGTGCCAAAACATGTGAAGATATTTTTATTTAGAAAGCCTATTACCCCTTTCGCATCATTGGTTGGGAGAGTGACCGCTTCGACCCTTTTGGAGACATAGTCAACCACTACCAATATGTATTTATTTCCATACGAGCTGACAAACGGCCCCATAAAGTCGATTCCCCACATGTCAAAATCCTCCACCTCTTGAATTGTGGTCATTGACATATCGTGACGGCAAGATATGTTGCCTATCCTTTGGACTTCATCGCAACTTTTGACCCAAACGTGGGCATCCTTGAACAAAGTTGCCCAATACAAACCCGATTCCAACACCTTAGCTGCTGTCCGAACTACTCCAAAGTGTCCACCATATGGTGAAGCAAGGCAAGCCTGCAAAACAGAATGTTGATCTTTCTCGGGGATACACCTCCGGTTTATGTTATCTACACATATTTTAAATAGTAGAGGTTCATCCCAATAATAAGACCGCAATCGCGAAAGAACCTTTCTTTTGAATTGAAAAGAGTTCATAAGGTACAATACCACTTGAAAAATAATTAGCAACATCAGCATACCACGACGTCTCCTCCATTGTCACTGCTAGTAACTATTCATCTGGAAATGTCTCTGTTATATCCTCAATGTCTACCTTCCTTTCAGCTTCGTCCAACCTTGAGAGGTGGTCAGCTACTTGGTTCTTTGTCCTTTTTCTATCACGGATCTCCAGATCGAATTCTTATAGCAAAAGAACCCAGCGAATCAAGCGTGGCTTTGACTCCTTTTCTATTAGGTACCTAATTGCTGCATGGTCAGTATAAACAAGACCTTGTGAACCAATCAAGTATGACCTGAATTTGTTGAATGCAAAAATGACAGCCAACATCTCTTTTTCGGTCATGGTGTAATTGAGTTATGCATCGCTTAGCATTCTGCTTGCATAGTAAATTGGGTGCATTAGTTTATCCTTTCGCAGTCCCAAGACTGCTCATATAGCATAGTCACTCGCGTCGCACATGAGCTCGAACGGTTGCTCCCAGTTGGGTGAAACAATGATGGGTGCAGTCACCAATCTCTTCTTCAGCTCCACAAATGCCAACCTGCAATCATTAGAAAACACAAAGGGCTAATCCTTTTCAAGGAGTTTACATACAAGGTTAGCAATCTTAGAGAAATCTTTTATGAATCGCCTGTAGAACCTGGTGTGCCCAAGGAAACTTCTCACTGCCTTGACTGAAGTAGGTGGTGGTAACTTCTCAATCATGTCAACCTTATCATGGTCAACCTCGATTCCTTTACTGGACACTCTATGCCCTAAGACTATCCCTTCTTGTACCATAAAATGGCACTTCTCCCAAATCAACACTAAATTTGTCTCCACACATCTTCTAAGCACTCGTCTTAAGTTGTGAAGACAGTGCTCAAATGAATCTACCACCTTGGAGAAATCATCCATAAATACCTCCATAATGTCTTCAACGATGTCTGTGAAAATGGCTAACATACACAGTTGAAATGTCGCCGATGCATTACAAAGCCCAAAATGCATTCTGCGAAAGGCAAAGATGCCATACGGATAGGTGAATGATGTTTTCTCTCTGTCTTCGGGGGCTATTTAGATCTGATTGTACCCCGAATATCTATCCAAAAAATAGAAGTGAGATCGCCCAGCCAACCTATCTAACATTTCGTTAATGAATGGCAAGGGAAAATGGTCCTTTCGAGTGGTTGTGTTTAATTTCCGGTAATCCATGCAAATCCGCCATCCTGTGACTGTACGAGTCGAGATCAACTCGTTATTCTCATTTTGTACGACCGTCATTCCTTCTTTTTCGGCACACATTGAACAGGGCTAACTCAATTGCTGTCGGAGATAGGGAAGATGATATCCGCATCTAACCATTTGATCACTTCCTTCTTCACCACCTCTTTCATATTTGGGTTCAGCCTTCGTTGATGTTCTCTGGAAGGTTTGTGCCCTTCTTCCAAGAGAATCTTGTGCATACAAAAAGTTGGGCTGATGCTCTTTATGTCCTTCATGGTCCAACCAATGGTAGTCTTACATTCTTGTAATACCTGTAGGAAATGCTCTACCTGCAGAGCTAGCAAACCAGATGATATAATAACAGGTAAAGTAGAATTAGGCCCTAAGAAAGCATACCTGAGGTGAGCTGGAAGCGGTTTCAGCTCCAGTTTGGGTGGTTCCTCTACTGATGGTTTTGCCGGTGGTGTAGCCCTCTTTTCTAACACAGGTGACTCGAACTGAGGTTCCCTCTTCCAGAATCCTTGGCCTTCGAGTGCCATGACCCACTCTGCCAACCCTTCACCATCCATCTCCTCTAAATTTGTCAAGCAAGCTCCCAATGGATCTTAAGCAGTCATGACCTCATCATCTTCATGCAGGATCACATCCACTGCCTTCACTAGGGAGCAATTAGCATATTCATTGGGTCTCCTCATGGATTGATGAACGTTGAATATAACTTCTTCATCGTTCAACCTCATTTTTAATTCCCCAGTTTCACAATCGATCAATGCTTTCCCAGTGGCTAAGAATGGCCTCCCTAGAATGATGGGTATCTCTTTATCTACCTAGTAATCCAGAATAACAAAGTCTGAAGGGAATACAAACTTCCCCACTTGTACCAGCACATCATCAAGAATCCCTATTGGCCTTTTAACCGTGCGGTCAGCAAGTTGCAACAGCATCGAAGTCGGTCTAGGTCTGCCAATGTCCAGCTTTGTATATATTGCCAAAGGCATCAAGTTTATGCTGGCTCATAAGTCACACAATGCTTTTGCAAGGGCATAACTCCCAATAGTACATGGAATATTGAAGCTACCTATGTCAGACATCTTTTGAGACATGGGTCTTGTCACTACTGCACTGCATGTCTATGTCAGAGTTACTGTGGCTAGGTCCTGAAAGTGAAATTTTCGTGACATTAGGTCCTTCATCATCTTTGCATAGCCTGGCATCTCCCTCAAAACATCTATTAGAGGAATATTCAATTGAATTTGACGAAGCATCTCCATGAATTTCCTGTATTGATCTTCTTTCTTTTGTTTTGCTAGTCTCTGAGGGAATGATACATGTATCACCCTTTGTGCACTGCTTGCTGGCTTCTCTTTGTTGGGGTTTTTTGGAACAAGAGGTACCAGCTGTTCTGCAGCTTGTTCACTCTCTTTAGCCTTACCTTATCATCCTAAATCTGTTCAATCACCACTTCAGTAAGTTCTGCTGATTCATCTACCTCCAATGGAATTGGAGTGGCTGGCGTAGTCTCTCTGCTAGATTGCACAACTTCTTTCTCCCTGTCTAAATTTCTCCCATTCCGGAGACTTACTACCATCAGTTGATTCGGGTTTGCTCCTTGGGGTTAATGTTTATGTCGGTTGGCAATGTTCCTTGGGGGCGGTTGTTTAAGGCTATGGACAGCTGCCCCAATTGAGTTTCAATATTCTTTATTGCTGAGTCAAGCACTGCCAACTTTTCCTACATCTTACCATTTGTTCCAATGGGTTGTTGAAGCATACCCCTGATCTCTACCATGTCTCCATCCTGTTGCTGAGGAGGTGGCTAATATGCCAACTATTACTAGTTCTTCTGTGGATAGCCCTGTTGTCTCTGATATGACACCATTTGGTTTTGGGGCTGCATATCTCTAGGTTGTGGAATGTTTGGTCTGTACTACTGATTTGGTGCTGGTCTCCACTATTGTCCTCCTTGTCTCTGACCCCCAAAATTGTTTACATAATTCATATACTCTCTTAACCCTTGGTTGTCGCCTTCTCCACTCCATGAACACTCATAAGACTGATTAATGCACGGTGTACACAGTCCTCCATTTGTTGTGTCAACGATATGCACTTGCTTTGTACCCATCTCATCAATCTTCTTTGTCAATATATTCATATGAGTCATGAGTGTGGCTATGTTCTCTACATGTGAATTATTTGGGTCAAGAGGAACTGAATGCACTATTTGTGTCAGGGTCGTACCTCTCGTCATCCACCCCGAATTCTGGGACATCTTGTCAAGAAGGATTTTACATTCTGTGAAAGTCTTGCTAAAAAATGCACCCCAGCTGAAGCATCTACATTGGCTTTTAAATTGTCTGCTAACCCCACGTAGAATCTCTAGCTGAGCATCTGGTCTAGAATACCATGACGGGGACACTTCACTAGCATCCCTATGAATCTTTCCCAAGTTTCCTGCAAGGTCTCAGTAAGTTGCTGCTTATACTGCAATATCTCATCAATCTGTCTTGCAGTCTTGTTGGGCGGGTAAAACTTGTTCAGGAACTGCTTCACTAATTCCTCTCAGGTGACAATGGAATTTATTGGAAGCAAATTCAGCTAAGTCTGAGTTTCCCCAATCATAGAGAACGAGAACAGTAACAACTTGATGGCTTCTGGGGTCACATTTGGCTACTTTTGGGTCACACAAATTGACAGAAAAATTTTCAAGCATTGTTTAGGGTCTTCAATGTGTGACCAAAGAACAATCCCTTATTCTGCAGAAGATGCATCATGTTGTTTGTAATCTAGAATGTCTCTGCTTGTATTAGGCACAGCAATGGCGGTGGCCAGGTTGTTAGCTGTTGGTTGTTCCCAATCATAAAGTGCAGCTTCTGGCACAAAAGGTGCTACCACTCTGACGTTTGGGTCAGCTTGCTCATCCCTGATGTTTCCGTTGACGTTATCTACGTCACCCATGTCAAACTCAAGTTGGTGTGTTTATTGTGATTGTTTGTTCTTCTTGTTGGCACTGTTTAATGCCCTAAATGTTTTCTCAGGGTCTGAGAGTCCTTCAAGCAGTTCACCAGTCCTCGAAGAATCTCTAGGCATACACCTGAAACCCACAAAACTTCAAACGTGAAAATTTCAATGAAAATAATTATTTAACACCGTAGAAAATTGATCTAAACTAATAATTCTAGCACTACTTCTAAGTTGTAATAAATAACACCGTTAATTTCTTGGCAACGACACCAATATTTCATCATGCCCAACTATGCCTTATAAAAGACAAAGCGGTCGTTGCAAATATAATCCGTTTTTTAAGTCCGAAGTCGAATCCTTAGAGAACTAACCTATCTATTACAACTCTTGGTGATGCTATTACCAGCTCAAACAATTTGCAGATGCAAGATTTTTATCAATAAATATTGAGTTTTTGTTTAACTAATCCAAAATGATATTAAAACTAACAATATGCT